AGAACTTCTGTATAGTTCCAATTTCAAAAGTAAATGTCTTCAAAGATGGGTTCAGCAACTACTTCTCTGCTACCCTAACATCTACATGATACTACAATAGGGGTTGGTTTCCTCTTTCAGTGCTAGTTTCAGCTTTTAGCCTTCTATGTTTGCATAACCTAAATTTCTGGTTTGTAATCACTTTAAATTTAAGATTAATAATATTAGTGATGTGTTCTTGAGGCTAAAAAAAAAAAAAAATGACAAAGGAAGTAGCAAAATTCTAGGAATATTTTGAGGAGCAAAGTCTCAAAATCTCTAAAACCAAAATCTTAGATTGATTAGCACAAATTACATAGAGATTGAAGCAGCACCTGAAACTAAAAGTGCAAAAAACTGCACAATCAGAAGTAGAAGAGTTTGGTGAGCTTGAAGACCAGCCCCAAAAGAGATGTTCAAGGATTTTTCTCAGAAAGGAATCATGACATTGACAATGGAAGCCCAAGATGACAAGCATATGAATCCTCTGATTCAGTATCATAAAATTCACTTTTTTTTTTTTTTGCTATTCCCTGAACATCAATTTAGTCAGTTGGTTTTTGATTTCACACAACCAATCAACTATATTAACTTTAAAAACATGCTAATAGGTTATTTTTCAGTTGGCTACAGTTCTAGGGTTAAGGAAGGCAACTCAGCACACCCACCAACTACATTAATCAACAATAATTTTATCTATGCTTGCAACAAATCCTAAAATGAAAACCTAACTTACCAGCCACCCATCAGCTGCATTGTGAGCATAGTCTGATTCTCAAAGTAGTTGAAACAGTTGTCACAGCACACTTTGCATAAAGCAGCATGGTCCCTCTTGTAATGACCATGTAAACCCATTGCAGTGGAGAAGACTCTCCTAAGACTGCAATTCACAAATCTCATGATGACCCTGTGCAACAACTACAAGTATCAATTGAAGTTGATGAGAGAAGTAATGAACATAGTAAGCCTGATTGTTTTCTCTCAAAGTAAGTGCTTTCAATCCATTAAATTCACCTTTCATATTACTTGCCCCATCATAACCTTGTCCACACAATCTTGCAATACTAAGTCCATATCTTGAAAACAAAGAATCCATAGCAACCCTAAGTGAGTTAGCTGTGGTGTTAGAAACATGTACAAGACTAAGAAATCACTCAATTATCTCTCCTTGTTCATTCACAAGCCGTAAGACAACAACCATTTGTTCTTTCAAGGATACATCATAAGACTCATCAATTAAAACTGTAAACAAGCCATCTCCAATATCTTTAATGATTTCTTTTATTGCTTCACTAGCAATTGCACTAACAATCTCTTTTTGAATTTTCGGTCATGTCATTTTATTGTTTTCAGGAGTATTATCCAACACCTTTTTATTAATGTTGTCATTATGTTCCATAAGAAAGTGTAGCAATTCAAGAAAATTCCATTTATTGAAAGCCATCAAATTCATCATGACCACGAAAAGCTAATCCTTAGCGCAAAAGCCATCTAACACAATCAATTGATGCACCTAATTGTATACGTACTTTTTTCAACTAGCCTCATCATAATTGGAAAACACAGTTTTAATGCTTTGAGTTTGATTCATCAAAGCATCACACATCATTTTAGCTTTATTATAAGGACTTGAGATGGTACCAACATGCCTTGCTAATGCTTTTTTGTCTTCCCAATTTCTGAACCCATGAGAAATCCAAGTATGTTCAACAATATTATGTGGGAAGACATAACAATACAAATAAAATATGGCATTCTTAGATACATTGTACTCCAACCAACTAATGTTAGTGTCAAATCAAGAAGGACAAAAGTGACGAGATTTATTTCCACATTGACTAAATGGAAAATTATGCCCACGTGGTTGGTAAGGTCTTTTGGCAAATATGCTCCTCTCATAGTATCTTGAATATTAATATCATAAGAGGAAATTGGAGGTCTCTCTCCAGGGTTTGAAATCAAATTCTCCAAATTAAACTCTACAAGTGACGTTTTTCTACTTGAACCTCCACCAATATTTGCATCATGAACACATTTTTTTCTACTTGGACCTTTTTTGAGAAGTATCTTTCCATGTCTATTTTTACCAAAAAAAGATTTAATTTAATTATTTAAAATATAATTGACTAATATATATTGAAACAATTTTAATAATTAAATAATAAAAAAAAAGAATATTACTATTAGAAAAAACTTTAAAAGTCAAAATGTAATTTTAACAATGAAATTTAATAACTAACCTATTAAGATGAACAAACTCACAAGGGTAATACCATCAAACTAACATATAAAAAAATTTTATTCCTTCATCATCAAATAGCAAGTAAATAAGTAACGATAGACAAACTCATAGGGGCAATATCTTGTTTTTTAATAATTGATTTATAATTAATTTGTTTACTAATTATATTTTACCAAAAAATCATTCTTCCACTTAATATTTAATTAAATTTATTAACTCAAACAAAATGGTCAGGCACAATATCTATCCAAAATTTAAAATTAAAATACTCATAATTTGACAACAAGTTAAAATACAAAGTAACTACAATAAACAAAAAGAAAATAAAAAAAAATAGACAAAAAGTTGGAAAGAACAATTACTTGGGGGTTGGCCAACTGGGACAATGGAATCAATATAAAAGTTGATCCAATTAATATTGAAGAGGGAGAAGCACTGAAAAATGAGAGATGACCACTTCCTACACTTTTAACATGCATATTTGGTGGAGAATCTGGAGATGTCTTTTTAGCGAAAAAAACCTAATATTTGTTTATTTAGATGACTCAAATAATGCCGAAAGCTTCCAATATAAGCCAATCTTAACTTTTGAATTTGGCACAGCCCATAACAAGCCCATTAGTTAAATTTATGTTTTCAATTTTATTTTACATAAAAATCTTTCATTTAGGGTAGGGCCTAATAATATTGTACTTAACAATACAATAAATTTTTTGAACCCAGGATAGGGCCGTGCCTAACCCTGGGCCTAAGTAGTTTTGCCACTATTCTCATCAAAATTCCAACTGCATTTATTTTAGATGTAATTAGCTGTTTCTTCTTTTATAAGATAATAAGACACTATATAACTCTTTTTTTTGTGGTAAGTACAACATGAATATGCTTTTTATTATGTTTAGTGGACTATTCAACATAAACATGACTTGTTTGGGTAAGTCCAAGTTATCTTAGTTCAAGACGAAGATGTTTGAATGTCTCCTTTCCCACGTAAAACCAAAAATAAAATTTATAGTCATAATTTGTTTTCTCCCCATCTTATTAAGCAGGATTCAATTACCTAGCGACCTTCTGGTTTTCAATGATATTAGAGGGAACGAGTACTTAAAAGTGGACATTTTAATAGTCAAATGCAATTCATTGGGCAATCCAACATAAAAAGTAGAACTACTGATTAGAATATCAAATATCCTACAATGCACTAACTCAGCAAAATAAACTCAACAAGACTCCCAACAAAGTAGTGTTGTAGACAGCATCAAATATACCTTTCCCAAACCTTAGTTAACCTGCACAAAACACAATCATATGTTAAATTTTTTTAAGGTAAGTAATCATAGTAGCATTTTTATAGTCCATGATGTAATACCCTTGTCCTTCATTGACTAGAATTATAGTTTTAGTCCTTTATTGTGACTTTGAGTTACAGACTTACTTTAAAGAATCTAATAGTTAGGGTTGCATGTCCAACTTTTAGAAGTTCTCTTAGTGGGGTACATTCATTTTCTTCCTTTCTTTCTTAATTAAAGCTAGAGTGGAATACACTTCTTACTCCAATGTGCATTTCTTTTACAGCTGGCTTTCTAAGAGGTTAGCAAAGTGGATTGAATTAAACTATACTAACAGTAAGCAAACATTTACATCACCAAAAAGATGTAAGCCTTGAGACCATTTCTCCATGTTCTTTTCCAGTCAAGATAGAGAGAAGAGAAGGAAAAAAGCCAACTATAATTGAATGAGTTAAATTCCATCCCAATTTTTTTTGTCAATTCTATAAACCCTAAAAACCCCAAATTAAGATCTAGTCTTCTTCTCAAAAAAGGTACAATGAAGTATATCTGGGTGAGTGGGCAATCACAGATGCAGGAATGAAGTTCATACCGACTTATATGTATGTAAGAGGGCGTATTAAGCCTTGTGACAAGACCTGACATTTATAATGAGGCCTCACGTAAGGGGCATGTTGAGTGGGAAAATCCCACATCATGTGTACAACAAAAAAGTATAGGAGTTAAATATAAGAAGGGTCGCTCCAACTATTGCCAATTGGTTTTAAGTTGAAAGCAAGTTTTGTATTGAGTCCACATGTATAATTTTCACATGGTATCAGAGCCCAGGTTCCATCATCG